AGGCTCATATCCCATCTTCCCATCCCTCCTTTCACTCCATCCTCCCTCCCTTCCTCCCATTCCCCCATCCACCCAACTCATCCTCCCATCCCCCATTCCTGCGAGCAGCAAACAGTGCGGGTGCCCATAGGTCGAGTGCGGTACGGTGCGGTGGTAGGAGGACTCTACATGGCGTCCCCAACAGGTGTGTGACATGTGCGCTAGACATCATTTGCGTGTCATGTGCGCTAGACAGCATTTGCGTGTCATGTGCGCTAGACAGTCTTTAGACGCATCCCTCCATCCCACTACACCCCTGTCATGCACTGTGTGCGTCTGCATGTGCATCTGCATGTGCATGTGCATGTGTATGTGCATGTGCATGTGCATGTGCATGTGCATGTGCATGCAAGTTCATGTTCATGTGCATGTGCATGTGCATGTGCATGGCCTGCTCTGCTCTCTGCACACTTCAACAAGGCAAACCTGCAGTGAGTGTGCTGCGTGTGCTGCATCGGCACGTGCACGCCAACCAAACCTTGCTCGAGGTAAGCAGTTTCTCTCATTTGAACCCAACGATCCCTAAAGCCCATATCCATCTGTTAGGAAGAGATACCCATATTCTCTCTTCATGCCCATCTGGCATTTGTTACGTGCCTCAAAAAAAAAAAAAAAAAAAAAAAAAAAAAAAAAAAAAAAAAAAACTCTACTGTTTTCACAAGAACTGCAAGCATACATCATCACCATCACCAGCACCACCAACCTTTCCCCCCCCTCCCCCCTCCCCCCTTTCCCCTTTTTCCCATCCCAGGTGCGCATATTCTCGGGCCGCGCCCATCAAATCCGCATTCACTGCGCTGCTGTCGGCCATCCGCTAGTTGGTGGGTGCCTGTTTCTCTCTGAGACAAATTTCCCCATGCATTCTGTGTGTGTGTGTGCGCGCGCCTGTGCTGTGCTCCCGCAATCCGCTGCATCACCTCACAACAATTGCTGGTCCATCTCTCTTTGTCCCCTTCCCTTGTCCCAACTTCTCCTTGTCTCACAATCACTGCATCTAGGGGACCCTCTATAAGTCTCTGGGGGCATTCCAGTCCCCGTGACACGGCCACTTCCTCAGCACAGCCCAGCCCAGCACCCGCTTCCTCACCTCCTCCCCTCCTCACTACCTCTCCCTTTCCTCCTCTCTCCCTCACTCCATCCAGGTGACCCTCTCTACGTCTCTGGGGGCATTCCAGCCCCTGTGACACACTCGCTTCCTCAGCACAATGGCAGTAGCAGTAGTGGCGGCGATGCTGGCAGTGGTGATACCTTCCGTGGCAGTAGAATTACTGGCGGTGCTGGCAATAGTGATGCTGGCAGTGGCAGTAGCAATACTGGCAGTGTTGATGGTGCTGGCAGTGCTGACAGTACTGGCAGTGCGAGTGCCATCAGGCCGGGAGACACAGGCTATTGGCTGCACTCCTTCCGATGCCTCTTCCACCATCCCACGTCTAACCAGGTCTGCTCTTCTTTCTCCCGCCTTCTCCCACCTTCTCCCCCCATTCCCCCCACACCTCCTCCCAGCCCGTTCCTCCGCCTCCCCACTCTTCCCGCCTAACATGTCCTGCTTCCCCCATGCCTGTGTCTAAGCTATGCCCCGGTTGCAATCTCGGACCTATGGTGTTCCTCACACCATGGTGCTCAAAAGGTAGTGTTGTAGTCTGCTCATGCTCTTATCGGTTTGTCTTATAGGGGTTCTTAACTGGCTGCCTTTCTATGGCTATCCCATACCTCTCTGCTCCATTCCCCTATGTCTGCTCCCTGAATGTTTGCTTCCTCCATACCTCCTCTGCGCCCCTGCCTTCAGGTGATTCGAGTGGTTGCGCCTCCCCCCCCTGCCCTGCGCATGCCACACGAGACACTCGCCTCCTTTCTGCCTGCATGCCAAGTCATGCCACCCGATGCCTTGATGGATCTATGGCATAGTTAGTGTTCTGTAATTTTTGGAAAGGAGGTTGCAGGAAAGTTGTTGCTGGTGCCTTTGAAACATGCGGCCGAAATTGCAGAGACTTACGGACAGTGTTCAGCTTAGACAATTCATATTGGACGTATGATGTTGAGATTATTTGTCCAGGAATATAAGTCTGGATTGGTAGTGCAGATTTTACACGGAAAATTTATCAACATAAATCTGATTTACGTTTTACATAAAGGATCTCATCATATCAATAAGCTATGTAGACATGTATATGCAAATGAATCTCGAACCAACCAGTTCGTCCGTTCATCGCATGTTCCCAAGAAGTTCGCTGACAGAATCCCAGAGTGCTTAGTTGACGTGGCAAATTTGGTGCTGAGGGGGCATTGCCCCATCTGTATGCCTCGCGGCAAAGTTGGGAGGACTTCTGGTGTACCAATGGAATCGGTGTCCATTCCACGTGTACCCTCGCTGATTCGTTTACGCTGGATTGCGATTTTCCCATACGAAGTTCAGAGCTATGTGTGTGATGCTCCCCAGACACGCTGCTTGTCGCACGACCTGCTGAGCAAGGTAGTCATTTTTGGTGGCATTCTCTGATCAGTCTGTTGACAGCAACCCTGCTTCCTCTTCGTTATCGTCAGACGATTGCACTGCTACAATGGCGGCCATTGCGTCGTCCTCCGCCGTGCGCGTTGCTGCCTTCTCCCTGAAGGCCAACAGCCAGAAGAAGCTCAATGGCAGCAGCTTCGTCGCTGGCGCGCCCCTCCGGGTGTCGTCCTCCGCCATCTCCTCCCGCTTGACAATGGCGGCGGAGGCTCCCGAGGGCTTCTCTCCTCCCGAGCTGAAGTCTGATACTCCCTCCCCGATCTTCGGTGGAAGCACCGGTGGCCTTCTCCGCAAGGCTCAGGTCGAGGAGTTCTATGTCATCACCTGGGAGTCTAAGAAGGAGCAGATCTTCGAGATGCCCACCGGTGGTGCCGCCATCATGAGGTCCGGCCCTAACTTGCTGAAGCTCGCAAGGAAGGAGCAGTGCCTCGCACTCGGTACACAGCTCCGCACCAAGTTCAAGATCAACTACCAATTCTACCGAGTGTTCCCCAGCGGTGAGGTCCAGTACCTTCACCCCAAGGATGGTGTGTACCCCGAGAAGGTGAATGCTGGCCGTGCCAACGCGAACGTGAACCTCCGCTCCATTGGCAAGAACGTTGACCCCGCAGCTGTGAAGTTCAGTGGCAAGCGCGCCATTGATCTGTAGATTGTCTGTGATGGTCTCCCTGTACATGCGTGTCAGCTAACTGTGTTGGACGCACGTATGGGTTATGTAATGAAATCATACTTGTTTTTCCCCTTGATTCAATAGATCCACTTGCTCAATTCCTCCAATCAAAATGGTGGCAGTGTTTGTTCAGTGCCCAGTTACCTGGTCACAAGAAAAAACTTTCCTCGTCATCTCAGCTTCACCTTAATCTTCAGTACCTTGGCACTCATTTTTTCTGAATAGATCCATATTTCTTAACCACCCGAAGATCCGAAGCTGACAGTGATATGGTAGCCTAAATAACTCGTATGGTAGCGCATTGTTTCAGCATATTCAGTGTTGATAGTGTGGAGTCGTCAAATGATTTACACTGATCCCCTGCTTGTTTTGAGCTGATTTATATCGGGTCCAAACCGAGCTGACTGAGTGGTCCCATCCCAGCCACTATAGCCCCACACCTGTTTTCTCGTCCAATAGACCTGGATGTGTTGGCAGTGAGTCAACAAGGCGACCACTGACCACTGATCAGAACCCTACCCCATTTTGGCGGGGGTTGCCCCAAGGCTTTCTTCCAGAACGTAAATTCGGGAGTTTCTAGTCGCCTGATTCTAGTCCCCCCCGCGATCCGCTGACAACAAATATGTGGAATTCCACGACATCCCAATGTGGACGACAAACCCACGCAATATTCACCTCGGGAATCCCGCAACTGACCCCAACTTCCAGATTTCAGAACCACGCGCAACTGAACGCCTGTTCGCCTGCCCGCCTGCCCGCCTGCCCGACCAGCCTGCCCCTTTCCAGTTCTCGCTGACCCATGCCCTGCTGTTCACGTGCCGTCGCTCCAAGCTGTCGGGGATGAAGTTGCGGCGCCGATCCCCGGCTGCGGATTCCGGAGCGGAACCCCCTCTTTCCCCCACCCCACCCACCCATCCTCTCTCCATGCGGAAGGTCCGCGGACCGCCACCCCCGCGCCTGCAACTGAAGCTCCGCAACCTCACCTGATCTGATCCAGTAGCGGAATGGATGGACGGATGGAGCCAAGTTGGGTGATTGGCTGGCACCTCTCACACTCTCCCCACGACTTTTGCCGGGGATGTCTTTTGGGGCAGAATCGAGGGCCATTCGTAGTGGTTTGATTTGTTTCGGTTCGGTTAGATCTGGTTTGGAGGCTACAGTAACTCTCCCGTCCACCTCGGTAGTACCCTGCACCTCTGACTGGTTGTAGAAGGCCATTTCACAGAAAGGGCAAGTACGTTTGCGAGCACAAGACCTTTTAGGTCCTAGAGTAAATTTGATGTTGACAGTCAGGTGTTGGTTCCAGAGCTGCTGCTGTTAGTGTATGGTTTCTCAACGCAATGCTACCGTCTCCACCTAATTCTTGAACTGGCACCTCGACACGTTATTGGTGTTGTAATCTAGTCTATCTCACGCTGACTGCTCGTCAGATTATACTGCTTCTAGAGGCCCCGGCCTGTGAATTTATACGCGGGAAGTTCCCGTCAGTGAGCGACGTTTTTTACTGTCGACTTTTATTTCGTTCGTCGTGGGCCGTTGAATTGGCGACAATCTTCGGAGTTTATAATATCTGACGCTTAGACCTCTCGCTCTTGCGCTGATTCTGTTAAGCATCAGGCACGTACTATCGCGTCGTCTCACCACGTTTCTAGCGACGTCCCCTAACCGCTGTCATTCTCGTTATAAAAAATGCCTTCAACCAACCGGAGAAGCCGGCGAGCGGAAAGAAGGCGGAGGCCTGGTTCCGCGCTCCGCTGTCTGCGCGCGCGCATCTGCGCGTACTGCCTACACGGGCTCACGCCCCACTTGCGCAAGGCGGTCGAGTACCTGCTTCTTCTGATCGCGGTCGCGCTGCTGCTGCTGCTCTTTTTCATGCACTCCACGTTCGTTCACCAGGTAGGATCCCCCTGGGGGCAGCTTATGAGGCAATTCTGACGCATGCTCCAGCACCTCCTCCTCCTCCTCCTCCTCCTCCTCCTCCTCCTCCTCCTCCTCCTCCTCCTCCTCCTCCTCCTCCTCCTCCTCCTCCTCCTCCTCCTCCTCCTCCTCCTCCTCCTCCTCCTCCCCCCCCTCCTCCTCCTGCTGCTGCTGCTGCTGCTGCTGAGATTTCTGCCTCTGGCACTTGCATCTGCGTGCGACGCGCGTTGGTTCGTACATCCCCTCCTCATGCCCTCTCCATCCACTATCCGTCCCTTCCCTGTGCCTGCCCCTATTCCCCGCCTCCCCTGCGCTGACCATCCCTTCCGCCCACTCCTCCCCTCAGCCGTCGTGCGCGGCGGAATTTGAGCCAGACGACGGCCCTCAGCCGCAGCTTCTGCTGATTAAGGTGCGCACCCTCCGCGGATGAAGTAGCGCTTTAGCTCTGCTCCGCGGATTGCGGCACGTTGCCCCGAGAGGAAAGGGGAGGAGAGAGGAGAGGGGAGGGGGGCATGGCGAGGAGAGGAGGGAGAGGAGAGGAGAGGCGAGGAGAGGAGAGGAGAGGAGCGGAGAGGAGAGGGGAGGAGAGGAGCGGAGAGGAGAGGGGAGGAGCAGGTCTCGTGCGTTTGCACCGTTTCTGACCCTCCGTGCTTGCACCATCCCCTTAGTCTTCGCGCGTGTGTTCTTTCACAGGATATCTGCGCGCCAATCAATCAAGCAATCCGTTCCTTTCCCCGCTCGCTTTTCCCACTCCGCCCACCGGTGCGCTTTCCCGCCCGTTTTCCCGCCCGTTTTCCCCATCCGCGCCCTCCCTCCCCATCCGTCCGCGCGTTCCCCCATCCGCGCAGATCTCCGGAACCGGCCTGGGCTTGCTCCGCCACGCGCCGTTCCTGCAGCTTTCCACCCCCGCGGCGCAGCGCGAGGGGATAGGCGTAGCGGGGGACGCGCGTAAGGGCGCGGGGGAAGGGGGCGGTGGCGGAAGAGATGCATGGGTTGCGGGGAAGGAACAAGGGGGGGGCGGCGGAGAGAAAACAGTTGCGGGGGGAGGAGTAGCAGGATCCGGTGGGGGAAGAGAGACGGGGGAAATTGAGGGGCAGTGTGGGGTTGGGGGAGGGGGGGAGGGGTTGGAGGGGAGCGGGGAAGCGGGGAAAGCGGCAGGCATGGGGGTAACGGGAGGAGAAAGCAATTCGTGCAGCAATAGCTGCAGCAGCAGCCGGGTGGTGGGATACGCGGAGGGGGTTCCTAACCCCCAGGAGCAGCAGGAGCTATCCTCTGTTCCCAGGAGCGGTGCCTCTGTTCCCGAGCAGCCGAGTCCCGCCGCTATGCTCGCGGATAGCGGAATCTGCGATCCCCAGGGCGGGTCTAAATCACCCTGTGGTGGCGCCAACGCTGCTGCTGAAACGAGTGCGGAGAGCTGTGCAGGAGGGTTGGGGGAGTCGGGGGGGTTGGGGGGGTTGGGGGGAACGGAGCCTGGGGTAGGGGGGGGTGGCGAGCCGGCAGGGGGGGCGGCGGGGGGGGGGGCAGCCGCGGCGGGGGGAGGGGGAGCGGGGGGCGGAGCGGGGGGTTGGCAGGGGCGCGGGTGGGCGCGCGTGGGGCATGCGCTGAATGAGGGGCTGCTGCGCGCGACGCAGAGGCGCCTGCGCGTGGACGTGCAGCTGCTGTGGCGCTTCCTGCAGATCCTGTGCCTGCAACTGGTGTGTGCGTGTGGTACAGGCTGATATGGGATGTCTGGGATGTTACAAGCGAGGAATAGCGTGCAGTGCTGTGAGTGGTGTGGTGTGGTGTGGTGTGGTGTACGATGGGAAGCTATGGGTTGGGCTGCGTGGGTTGAATGAGGCGCGTGGACGTGCAGTTGCTCTGGCGCTTCCTGCAGATCCTGTGCCTGCAACTGGTGTGTGTGGGATGGGATGGGATGGGATGGGATGGGATGGGATGGGATGGGATGGGATGGGATGGGATGGGATGATAAGGACGGTACTGGGAGTGCATTGGGAGCAGGGGGAGAGTGCATTTTGTGGCGTCTCAAATATTCACTTTATACACGGGGAGTGCTGGTGAGGATCTGCGTCCACCCCCATTGCTGCCTAAGGGCCCTTTGAGACATCCTCGCCCTTACAAGCACACAGCCCCATCCTCTACCGCCTCATCCCTTCCTTTTCTCCCTGAATCGGTGCAGAGAGAGGGGTTGAGGGGTGCTGCGTCCACCCCCATCGCCACTGTCACCTCGGGACGCAACCGATCAGAGCGCCTGGCCCACCGTGAGATGAGATGAGATTGAGTGGGGATGGGATGTGTGCAGTTTTGGGGTGTGTGCTTTGCTGTGTGCTTCTGTGCTGCTGTGTGGTGCTGTGTTCGTGCAGTGCAACCATCACCTTGGGACGAGAGTGCCTGGCCCACCGTGAAGATATCTGTGTGGTGTGATTGTGATGCTATCTGTGTGTGCTGCTATTGGTTGCTATACTGTGCGGTGTGGTGTGCGGTGTGGTGTGTGTGCTGCTGTGCGGTGCTGTGCACTTCTGTGCTGCATTTTTTAGGAATATTTCGTTATGTCATACCTCATTGTGTAATATGCTGTATCATATCCTTCGCCTTCTTCCCTTCTCGTATGCATCCCTTCCCTCCCTCCTTCGCTCAATACCCTCCCTCCTTCGCTCGATACCCTCCCTCCGCTCATCCCTTCCCTGCTCCTCCTCTCCCTCAACCCCAATCGCACATTCCATGAATTTCCAGGGTCCATTCCCGTCTCACTCATGTTCAGCCTGTCGTCTCACTCCCTCTTCCCATCCCCATCCATCCCCATCCAACCATCCCCACCCATCCCCACCCATCCCCACCCATCCCCACCCATCCCCACCCATCCCCACCCATCCGCATCCATCCCCCCTGCCTTCCACCAGTCTTTCCCGAGTCGCTACGTACGCGTTTTGAAGCGCCCCTGTTCGTTTACACGGAAGAAAAGGTGTGTGCCATGCTTGTTGATGTCTGCCCTTCTCACTCACTCCCCTCTCGTCATCCCCTCCCATCACCCGCCTCCTCCGTCATCCCACTCCCATTTCTCCTGGTCTCCCTCCGCGTCTCATCTTTTCCCCTCGTTTCGCATCCCGGCCTGCGCAGGCGTATCTAGCAATGTCAGAAGCGGCCAAGGAGATGGTGGGAGTGAGATCAGTGAACAAGAGCATCCCTGCTCACAACCGCTGCTTCGGTGCCTGGTGGGTGCTTCAGCTGCCAGCTGGTGATGGGGATGGTTTGGGTTGTGGCGGTGATGAGCATGGTGGGGATGGGGACTACGGGGTGGGTGGGATGATGGAAATGGTGTTGGTAATGGGGTTGGATAAAAAGCTTACGAGCGTTAGAGTGTCTGAAGTGGATTCGGTGTCTGTCTGGGAAGAAGGGATCTGTGGAAAAGAGATTGTGTGCGAGAATATCTAGGTTGTGTGAGTGTGTGGATGAGATGAGATGAGACTGGCTGTGGTGTGTTGTATTGGAAGTGACTTGTCAGTTTCTCCTGCTTGTTGTCACCTTTGTAGCCTTTCAACTCCATGTTTGCGTGCCCAACAACCTTTTCTTCTTGTCCGCATGCATGTGGGTGCATGCATATGCTTTGTCGCTGTGCCTGTCACCACCACGCTTGCGCGCATGAACAACACATGCACACCTGCACGCATGTGGCAGGTGGAATGGAAGAGTGTGTTGGTGGATTTAGTGGTGGGATACGGCACTATTCTCATGAACTCCCTTGTCTCTGCGCCTGTCACCACCACCCATGCACGCATGCACTCATGCACGCATGCACACATGCACGCATGCACACATGCACGCATGCACTCATGCACGCATGCACACATGCACCACATGTGGCAGGTGGAAGAGTGTGTTGGTGGATCTGGTGGTGGGTTACGACACTATCCTCATGAACTCCCTCATCTCCTCACGCGGAAAAGGTACGAGCATTTTTTTTTTTTTTTTAAGAATTCTCAATGATCGCATGTGTGGTGGATGGACAGGACGCCCTTTTTTGTTTGACTCAACTTGAAAACGGAACAAGAAGGGCAAAACGGGAAAAGAAAGTCGAACGTGTGAGCACGCGGGCTTTTACATGGTCACACGTGAGGCAAACAGTACGCTCACCAGGGAATCACAGACCATGCTGAATTTCAAAATCCCTCAGCGACCCCTTTCCTTTCCTCCCAATCCGCAACTCCCCTCTCTCTCCTCCCTCCTCCCAGTACAACGCACACACCAAAGAGCTATACGACCTGAATCTCGCTGCCACCAGGGGCAGATCCAACTTCCAAAGAACCTAACCCCCTGCTGCCCCCAACCCCTCCCCACCAACCCGTCTCCCCTCCTCCCACTCCTCTCAGGTTTCCTGTACAACGCACACACCAAGGAGCTATACGACCTGAATCTCGCTGCCACCAGGGGTAGAGCTGCGGCAACGTCCTTCGAAGGTAGGACTTGGAGGCTAGTTTAGGGGGAGGTGACAACTGGAGCGAATGAAGGGAGGGAGGAGAGGGGAAATTAGGGGAGGTGGTGCCGCGGGGAGTTCACAGTAGTCGAATCAAGTTTGTGTGCTGCCCACGAAGCCAGTCAACCTTATGCTACCACCACTGAACCCTGCTGAACCCCACTGGACCTTACTGAATTCCACTGAATCCCTCTGAACCCTGCTGAACCCCATGGCAGACGTGATCTCGTTCAAGATTGGGGTGGTGTTCACATCAGTGTTCATATTCTTCATGACCCTCCTCGCTGTCTCCTTCACCCTCCGAGAGACGCAGAGCCGCATGCTCAAGTTCACAAGTAAGATGGTGTTTGGGGTAACGGTGGTGGTGGTGGTGAGGGGTAGTTGTGCTGGTGGTGAGAACGAAAGTGCTGCTGCTGCTGCTGCTGCTGCTGCTGCTGCTGCATCCATCGTTCTGCCACCCATACCACAATGTGATCGCTTTTTAATAGGGGAGCCTCACACGTTGTGAGTGTTCCACCATGGTTAACCCCCACCTCAACACCCACCACCACCCCTCTTCTCTCCCTGCCTCCCTCCGCCAGTCGCGCTGCACCACCATGCGAGGCATCGCCTGCCCACGTTCCGCCTAATTGCCATGCACATCCTCGAATCGCTCGTCTTTATTCCAGTGAGTCGATTAGCGCACCAGATTGGTACTGTGGGTGGTAGGGTGGGTGGGCGTGGGCTGTCTTCGAGTCGGCTCAGCAGTCTGCCCCGCGACCCTTGGCCTGCCCCATCGCCATGCACGTTCTCAAGTCCCTCGTATTCATCCCTGCGAGTGCACTCATAAGTCACTCATCCTCCCATCTCTCCCCCCCCTTGGCTCCCCTCCCTCCCTCGCAGGTCATGATCGGCATTCTCTTCTTCCTCTTTGAGTTCTACGACAACCAGCTGCTGGCATTCATGGTGCTCTCTTTGACCCGACTCACAAGTCACTCATCCTCCCATCCATCCCCCCTCTCCCCTGCTCCCTTCCTCCCTTGCTCCCCTTCTCCCCTGCTCCCCGGTCCCCCCCCCCAGATCATGATCGGCATTCTCTTCTTCCTCTTTGAGTTCTACGACGATCAGCTCTTGGCCTTCATGGTGCTCACACTCGTGTGGCTCTGCGAGATCTTCACACTCATCAGGTGCGTGCGTGCGTGTGTGCGTGCGTGCGTGCGCCTATACCCCCAATTAGTGACAGCAACGGCTGTATGCCTAGCCTTTGGGAACACATGCATGTGTTCCTGCTCCTGCCAATTCCCGCTCAGCCCTGTCGGTCTTTTTTCATCTTGCTCCTCCGTGTTTCCAATTCTGACTTTGAACCGTCGGTTCTTGCCAAACCCGGTCTTTGAACAGCACCCGGTCTCCCTGCTGTGCCCGTCTCCTGTGCTGTGCCTGCTCCTTTACCCGTGCTCTGTGCCCGTTTTCCATTCCTCCCTCCCTGCAGCTGCCGCTCCCCCCTGTCGCGGCGCTTCTTCCCCAAGTTCTTCTTCCTCTTCTTCCTCCTCTTCCACGTCTACTTCTTCACCTTCACCTACGGTGCGTCTCATACCTTCACCTTCACCTACGGCCTGGTGAGCCTTCTTCCTCCGCCCTCCATTACTCTTGCCTTTGCCACAGCAGCAGCCTTTCTCAACCACAATGCATCTTCCTCTTGAGTCGACTCAAGATTCACTGCTTCTGGATCGACTCAGAAAGTCTCTCTGTCCTCCTTTCCTTACCGTTCCCTCGTCCCTGCAGGGTTCTCCTACCTCGCCTTTGCCACAGCAGCAGCCTTTTTCAACCACATTGCCATCTTTCTCTGGAACCGACTCAGATGCGACCTTGTGTTGAGTCTACTCTACTTGAAAGTTTTTCTGTTCTCTTTCTCCTTGGCCCCATCATTCCCCTGGCACTGCAGGGTTCTCCTATCTAGCCTTTGCCACGGCAGCAGCCTTTCTCAACCACATTGCCATCTTCCTCTGGAACCGATGCGAGGTGCGTACGGTGCGGTGACGTGAGGTGGAGTGTGGTGCGGTGACGTGGGGTGGGCGTGGATGAGGTGAGGTGATGGGTGCAGTGCAGGCGTGGGCGTGGAGTGAGGCACGATGGACAAAGGGGGCTGTAATGTAATCGCCTACGCACCAAGGTGGCAACAGCAAGGCTTAACACCCTGAAGAGGATAACCTGAACAGCAGCGCACAGGATGGCCTATAGCCTGCATGCTCCGTATCCTCCCTTCTCCCTTCCCTTCTTACCCTCCCTGCCCCGTTCGTCTCCCTTTCAACCCCGCCCAAATCATCTCCCCTCCCTCGTGCATGAAGCAAAGCGAGCAGCAGCGGCTGCCACACACGCTCTTTTCACCCTCCCTCTCTCTCTTGACCCTTCTTCTTCCCTCCCCTCTTCCTTCGTCCCTCTTCCCTCTTCCCTCTTCCCTCCAACCCCACGTGCATCAAATCAAACAGAGCGAGCCGCAGGAGCCGCCACAGCACGCCCTGCAGCAACAGATTGCAGGAGCAGGAACAGGAGGAGGAGGAGCAGGAGGAGCAGGAGGAGCAGGAGGAGGAGGGAGGGCAGGCAGGCAAAGGCCCCCGCCTTTTGCAACTGATGCTGCAGCCATGGGGGGCAGTGGCAGTGGGGGGCGTGGGGGCAGTGGGGGCAGTGGGGGCAGCGGGGGCAGTGGCAGCAACAGCAGCAGTGGTAGCGGCAGTGGTGGTGGTGGGGGGAGAAGTGGTGGTGGTGGCAGCAGCAGCACTGGCGCTGGTGGTGGTAACAGTAGTTGTTGCAATAGTGGTGGCATTGCCAGTGGCAATGTCAACGGCAGTTGCAGCATCAGTGGTAGCAGCAGTAGCACTAGCAGTAGCAGTAGCAGTGGCACCAACAGTAGCAGGGTCAATAGTTGTTGTCGAGGCAGCGTCAGCGACAGTGGTAGCGGCAGCGGCAGCAACAGTGGCAACAACAGTAGTGGGCGCGAGTGTGGGGTTTCTGTGGGTGGACGAAGTGGAAGGGATCAGGGACCTTTTTTAACCTCACACCAGCAGCCAGAGCAGCAGCAACAGCCAGAGCAGCAACAGTCAGAGCAGCAGCAAATGCGAAGAGAGCAGCAGCAGCAGCAGCAGATTGGGATGCCACAACAACACATACACAGCCCATCATGTCAACACTCTTCCATCCAACATTCTTGCTACCAGCACACTTCTTCCCAACACTCTTTCTTTCGGCACCCTTTTTACCAGCAACCCTCCCACCACCCTATAAACCTGCACCCTTTTGACCAGCACCATCCAAGGCAAAACCCTTCCACCCACCCCCTTCCACCGCACACAAACGTTCTGCACTCCTTGTCGTGCCCTCCCCGCACCACTTGTCCCAGAAATGAAGACGAAGAATCGTCCTCCTCGCTCCCGCCCTCCTCTGCTCCTCTCCACTCCCCTCCTTTCCCTGACCTCTCATTCCTCCTCTCTCCCTGCCGCTCCGCTCTCTGCCACCATAACCCTTGCCCCAATCTCCAATCCAGAAGCCCCAATCCACAGTCTCTACCTCTCAACCCTCGCTACCCGCTCCTTGATCCTCTGTTTTGCGGCAATCCTGCTGTTTGCTGTCCTAGGGATGGGCAAGACAAAGCCTCATGCAACAGCAGCTGCAGCAGCAGTAGCAGCAACAGCAGAAGCACCAGCAATAACAGCAGCAGTAACAGCACCAGCAGAAGCACCAGCAGTAACAGCTGCAGTAACAGCAGGAGCAGCAGATTTAGCAGAAGCAGCACTACCACCACCGCCACCTTCCCCAGCGTCTGCAATAGCAGCAGAAGCAGCAGCAGGGACTATTCAGTAGCTTCATCTCATGCTCCTCCCTCCCCGTTCCCTCCCTCCTGTACCCCTACACCCACCATCTGTTGCCCATGTTTGGTAATCCAGTTACCACCTCCGTTGCCTTTTCCTGCCTCGCCCCCCAGCCTCTCCCTTTCGCCTGGAGCAGCAGCATCAGCCGCAGCAGCAGGATTGTCAGAACCAGCAGCAGCACCAGCACCACGACGACCACCACCACAATCACCACCACCACAATCACCACCACCATTAGCCGCAGCAGCAGCAGGAGCAGCGGCAGCAAGAGCAAGAGTTGCAGCATTGTGTTCTGAGCCCTCCGTCCCTCCTCTCATCCAGTCCCCATCATCCTGGTTTTCCTCCATCTTCTCAACGCCTGGTGTCTCTGCTGAAGTCACAACCTCTCCTGCTGCTGTTCTTGCTGCTGCTCCTTCTGTTGCTCCTGCTTCTGCTCCTGCTCCTGCTGCTGCTCCTGCTCCTCCTGCTGCTGCTGCTGCTGCTGCTACTGATGCTGATTCTGCTGTTGATGCCAGGGGTGCGTGTTGGAAAGATGGGTCTAACACGTGGGAGGGTGAGGGGTTGTTCGAGCTTCAGTCCAGTGCAAGGGGGTACGGAGGGGTGTGGGAAGGTGGGGGGTTGTGGGACGACCAGGAGGAGCAGTGGGATTGTGCTGATGTGGTGAGGAGGAGTGCGGGTGGGTGGAATGGTGTGGACAGAGTGGGAGAGGGTGTTGATGGTGCAAGTGGGGGGTCTGGTTGGGGCCGTGAGCAGGAAGGTCAGGTCAAAAGCTGTGATGAGTATGATAGTGACGAGGAGGAAGAGGAGGAGGAGGACGGGGAGGAGGATGATGCAGGCATGAGTGATGGTGGTGGGGAGTTTAGTAGTGTTGCTGCCGGTGGTGGCTTGGGCTGTAATGGAAGCAGCATTGTCTCTTCAACTTCACCTGCTGCTGCTGCTGCTGCTGCCGCTGCAGCTGATTCTGATGATGGTGGTGATGCTTCGAGCAGCAGGCAGGATCGTAGCAAGCATTGCACTCTTCTCACAACCACCTTACTCCACCCTGCGCATACACAAGAGCTTCCCTTACCCAGACACCGCACCAGAAAAAACTCTGACCAGCAGCAAAGTCTCCTACTCACAGCTGCCTTCATCCCAGTTTATGCGAGATATCAAGGGGGGGAAACCGGACAGAGTATGGGCGAGAGGATTCTCGACGTGCGTAAAAAATCGTTCCATCGCAAGAGGGGAGCGGGTGGGTGTGTGGGTGAGCTTATCAGGCAAAGAGTTGTCTCGCTTCCTGAGCTACACGCGTTGCAATCGCGAGCGTCTCAAAGCTCGCTGACCATGCTCATGGACTGACTGATCCATCAATCAATGGGCTGCTTGGTTCATGCTACCATGCTTGGTTCACTAGCCTGCTCTGCTGGATGATGAACAGATAGCAAATTCAGTGTGGAAAGAGGGGGCCGGGCGCGGGGGGGGGGGGGGGGTTAAAGAAGCCGTACGGTATGATGTAAAGGCTGAGATTTCCTCCTTCCTTACTGTAATTGCTTTGTCAGTTAAAGCACGCAATGAGCGGTGGCCACAACCAGGCGGGACTGGAGACTTCGGTCAGGTTCGCATGCTTGTATTGTCAGCATGGCAATAGGGTCTCTTCCAGGGCCCTAGATTCGTTTTAGGTCACACTGATGGGTCAGAGTGCACCCTCATTTGAACTCTCTGAGCCAGTGTTGCATGCGAATTTGAGTCTGAAAGTTCAGACATCACTAATTTTTTAAGGCTGAAAGTTCAGTGTTACAATAAGTTTAAAATGCGTCAGCCCCACTGGCACAACGCGACTGTGCGGTGCGGTGCTGCGCTCGGGATAATTTTCGTTTCCCGCCCGTGCAAACACGCCGCCAGGCTGGCGGACCCCTGCAGTACCCGTTTCATAGTGCTCCCCCGAAACAAGGCTGAGGATCAGCCTACACCCCTACAATGTGTCTGAAATTTCAGCCAGTACGTTAAAAAAAACTCTGAAAAATCAGACAAGGTACATAAAAAAACTCTTACAGTTCAGACCTGGTATTAAAAAAAAAAGGCTTTCTGGACTCTGAATCAGCGTAAAAAGTATGATATCTATGGCATTGGTCTCTTCTCAGCACAAACGGTATACCAGTACGGTTCACACGCAGCAAGCAACACAACACAACACGGTCTACTTTGCTATTTGGGGATGATGATTGCTAACTAACATGGCACCTCCTCACGCCACTCATACATGCAACACAATGTACGGTAAAAGAATGCTGATGGTACTATGAATCGTAATGCAGAATACGTAAGGGCGTGTCCAACAATATACGTAATCGCAGAGAACCCTACCCAACCATCTGGATTTATAATGAGACCGCTCTGGATCAGGGCCAAACCTTTTCAACCCCATTCGGACGTGCTCTTTGCACCCGCATTAAAGCCCGAGTTCCACATGGCATTTTTCAAATTCAAGATTCTTGAATATGAACTCGCCAAAAACCAGGTTACCACCCAAAGTGCAGCTTTCCTTCACAACTCTGATGCATGATTGGCCAGCGACAAAAAAAAAAGTATTCCAAGTGTCGACGGAATACTTGGAATACTTGGAATACTTGGAATACTTGGAATAACCCTAAACCCTAAACCCTAAACCCTAAACCCTAAACCCTGAGTTGGTCCACTGTTCACCCTCAGTAAACTTGAAAACCAAGTTGTACTTACGTGCAGCCATATTGAGTCTAGCACACGTAGTGCGCTCCGCTTTTCTAGACCACAAGAGCGCGTAATATCGCTTCTAGACAATGGCAGCGAGATGTCTAGAACCTTGCAGCAGTCTGACGGTTTTCCCCTCCAACGAAATTATGCGTAGCCAGCATAAAGAAAAACGTCATGCGTCACGCCCAAATCTACAGGGTCGATGGAGCTCGCATGTTACGTTCGAAGCGCACGGATCAAGCGCACGGATCGGGCGCTAGCCTCACATGTACGTTCGACGCACCCGTCGCACTCTCTTACGCCCATCAAACTCCCTCACGCCGTCGCCCTACTGCCCGTCGCTCTCCCTAGCGCTCGTCGCACTCACTTCCGCCGTCGCCCTCCCTTCCGCCCGTCACCTTCCCTTCCGCCCGTCGCACTCACTTCCGCCGTCGCCCTCCCTTCCGCCCGTCACCCTCACTTCCGCCGTCGCCCTCCCTTCCGCCCGTCACCCTCCCTTCCGCCCGTCGCACTCACTTCCGCCGTCGCCCTCCCTTCCGCCCGTCACCCTCCCTTCCGCCGTCGCCATCCCTTCCGCCCGTCACCCTCCCTTCCGCCGTCGCCATCCCTTCCGCCCGTCACCCTCCCTTCCGCCGTCGCCATCCCTTCCGCCCGTCACCCTCCCTTCCGCCGTCGCCATCCCTTCCGCCCGTCACCCTCCCTTCCGCCGTCGCCATCCCTTCCGCCCGTCACCCTCCCTTCCGCCGTCGCCATCCCTTCCGCCCGTCACCCTCCCTTCCGCCGTCGCCATCCCTTCCGCCCGTCACCCTCCCTTCCGCCGTCGCCATCCCTTCCGCCCGTCACCCTCCCTTCCGCCGTCGCCATCCCTTCCGCCCGTCACCCTCCCTTCCGCCGTCGCCATCCCTTCCGCCCGTCACCCTCCCGTCCGCCGTCGCCATGCCTTCCGCCCGTCACCCTCCCTTCCGCCGTCGCCATCCCTTCCGCCCGTCACCCTCCCTTCCGCCGTCGCCATCCCTTCCGCCCGTCACCCTCCCTTCCGCCGTCGCCATCCCTTCCGCCCGTCACCCTCCCTTCCGCCGTCGCCATCCCTTCCGCCCGTCACCCTCCCTTCCCCAACTCATTTGGACCAGTCACGACCCCTTTCAAACCCACACACACGGTAGCGCTTACCCTAATAATCGCCTTCCACCTCCACACCGCTTACCTCTCTCATTCCCCATGTCCCCTTCCCCAAACCCCCCATCCCCTTCCCTTCTTCCCCCCATCCCCTTCCCTTATATTCCCCCATCCCCCTCCCTGCTTCCCCATTTCCCTTTCCCTGCTCCCCCCCATCGCCTTCCCTTCTTCCCCCCATCCCCTTCCCTGCTTCCCCGTGTCCCTTTCCTGCTTTCCCCCATCCCCTTCCCTGCTTCCCCATGTCCCTTTCCCAGCTGCCCACCATCCCCTTTTCTTCTTCCCCCCATCCCCGTCCCTGCTTCCCCCCACGCCCTTCTATGCTTCTCCCCATCCCCTTGTCTGCTTCCCCCCATGTCCCCGTCCTTAGCTTCCCCCCACGCCCTTCCATGCTTCCCCCTATCCCCTTCCCTTTTTCCCCCCATCCCCTTCCCTTACATTCCCCCATCCCCTTCCCTGCTTTCCCATGTCCCCTTCCCTGCTTCCCCCGTGTCCCTTCTCTTCTTCCCCCCATGTCCCCGTCCCTGCTTCCCCCCACGCCCTTCCATGCTTCCCCCCGTCCCCTTCCCTGCGTCCCCGTGTCCCTTTCCCTGATTCCCCCCATCCCCTTCCCTTCTTCCCCCCATCCCCTTCCCTTATATTCCCCCATCCCCTTCCCTGCTTCCCCCCATCCCCTTCCCTGCTTCCCCCCATCCCCTTCCCTGCTTCCCCCCATCCCCTTCCCTGCTTCCCCCCATCCCCTTCCCTGCTTCCCCCCATCCCCTTCCCTGCTTCCCCCCATCCCCTTCCCTGCTTCCCCCCATCCCCTTCCCTGCTTCCCCCCCATTCCCTTCCCTGCTTCCCCCCATTCCCCCACCCCGCCCTGTCCTATCCCCCACCCCGCCCTGTCCTATCCCCCACCCCGCCCTGTCCTATCCCTCACCCCTCACCATCCCAGGCGAGCGTGACAGAGGCCCAGACGACCTGCATGGACGTGCCGCCTCCCCTTGCTCCTGCTTTCAGCATCTCTAAGGCCCAGACGAGCCACATTGCATAATGGGAACAGCTTGCAGATTCACAATGGAAACACACAACACTAGCATAATGGTTTGAGCTTGTCTTGTATCCTGATACTGCATGCTAATGTCATGTGTAGTTGGTCTCAAATATCGAATACTTGTGTCAAGGTTTACATCTTATCGCCTGATTTGTATCCTGATCTACTGTAAAAGGGTTACAAACAAAACTAACAGAGGCTACCATGACAGCAGCATGAACAGCAACTTGAGTACAGTATCAATGAAGGCACAATGAGGGCACCGAGTGGCCTCAAATGAAATCAAATCGTACTTAGTTGCTCTATTCTGTAAAGCAAAGCTCACAATGTCAGGGAAGGTGGGAAGGACTGGTCAGGGAAATTAGAAAAGGGAAGGGAGGGAACACAGGTGAATCACAGGGTGCAAGCAGGAGAAATTGGCAAAAGGCACAGTCAAAACAGAGGGCAAGCAAGACGGACACGGAGATAAAAATATCTAGAAGGCTGCCCAGTGGCTGATAGTGCACCCTCCAGGTTTCCGCCCAGTGTCACGCACTGGTGACCGCAGAACTGGGACAAAACGCACATCTGCGCAACGATGAAATAGAGTTACATGGTCGTGAAACCACCCAAGTACTTCCAAGTTACTTGCCTGTTGAAGACAATAGCAGGGTTGAAAAAGAACAAGAGAGGGGAGGAAGGGCTCAGAGAGGTAAGGAAGGGATAAGAGAAGGGAGGAATGGATGAGAGGAGAGAGGAAGGGATGCTAAAAGGGGGGAGAGAGGAGGACAGGGGGGAGAGAGGAGGACAGGGGGGAGAGAGGAGGACAGGGGGGAGAGAGGAAGATAGGGGGGGAGAGGAGGACAGGGGGGAGAGAGGAGGACAGGGGGGGAGAGGAGGACAGGGGGGGAGAGGAGGACAGGGGAACCAGGGCGGGAAAGGAAACAGGGGAACCAGGGGGGGGGGACAGGGGAACCAGGGGCGGAAAAAGGGGAACCAGGGGGGTGGGGGGGAAACAGGGGAACATGAGGGCAGCGCATAACATCCAGTGATGGCTGAGGGCTCACAGGGACCACAGACCGGGGATGAAGGGGAACGGGGAGGGCGAGAGGAGGTGTTATGTACAAAAGAAACAAGTGGGGCAGTGGCAATGGAAGGGGCAGCCGCAACGGAGGCGAGGGTGAGCGGCAGCCAGTCGTGGTAGAACTGTGACTGCAGCTGGTCCGCCTCGTCCACCACCTATTGGGGGCAAGACATGATGCAGGCGATGAAGGGGGTGCACGGAGGCATGGGGAGGCATGGGGATGCATGGGAAGGCATGGGAAGGCATGGGAAGGCATGGGAAGGCATGGGAAGGCATGGGAAGGCATGGGAAGGCATGGGAAGGCATGGGAAGGCATGGGAAGGCATGGGAAGGCATGGGAAGGCATGGGAAGGCATGGGAAGGCATGGGAAGGCATGGGAAGGCATGGGAAGGCATGGGAAGGCATGGGAAGGCATGGGAAGGCATGGGAAGGCATGGGAAGGCATGGGAAGGCATGGGAAGGCATGGGAAGGCATGGGAAGGCATGGGAAGGCATGGGAAGGCATGGGAAGGCATGGGAAGGCATGGGAAGGCATGGGAAGGCATGGGAAGGCATGGGAGGCCGAGGGGACAGAGGGGGCACAGCAGGCGCAGGGTGAGGGTGAGGGGAAGTCAATTAAGGTACCAAGAGACACAGCAAGCGGCCTGCCTTGTCCACAACCTGATGGGCACAGGGTTGCGCATGGGGGACCAGGGGACAGAGAAGCGCAGAGAGAATGTGAAGTCCCTGCCCAGGGGGAAGCAGAGGGGAAAACAAGGGGAAGCGGAGGGGGGAATGAGGAGAAGCGGAGGGGGGAATGAGGAGAAGCGGAGGGGGGAATGAGGAGGAGCGGAGGGGGGAATGAGGAGAAGCGGAGGGGGGAATGAGGAGAAGCGGAGGGGGGAATGAGGAGAAGCGGAGGGGGGAATGAGGAGAAGCAGAGGGGGGAATAGGAGAAGCGGAGGGGGGAATGAGGAGAAGCGGAGGGGGGAATGAGGAGAAGCGGAGGGGGGAATGCGGGGAAGCAGTGGGGGAAATGCGGGGAAGCAGAGGGGGAAATGCGGAGAAGCAGAGGGGGACATGAGGAGAAGCGGAGGGGGGAATGAGGAGAAGCGGAGGGGGGAATGAGGAGAAGCGGAGGGGGGAATGAGGAGAAGCGGAGGGGGGAATGCGGGGAAGCAGTGGGGGAAATGCGGGGAAGCAGAGGGGGAAATGCGGGGAAGCAGAGGGGGACATGAGGGGAAGCAAAAGGAGAATTAGGGGAAGCAGGAAATTAAATATAGGGAAATCTGGGGGCTGGAATAGGGGAAGAAGGGGGGAAACCAGGGGAAGCAGGGGAGTAAATGGGGGAAGAAGAGGGGGGAATGAGGGGAAGCAGACGGGGAATGAGGGGAAGCAGACGGGGAATGAGGGGAAGCAGAGGGAATAGAGGGGAAGGTAACAAGACCGAATAGAAGGTAACAAGAGGGATATCGGGGAAGGTAACAAGAAACGGGAGTGGAGGCGCGAGGAGGGGCAGCGCGGCGAGGGTGTTGGCGCGCTGATGGCAGGGGAGGCGCGGCGAGGGTGTTGGCGCGCTGATGGCAGGGGAGGCGCGGCGAGGGGAGCGGAGGCGCGACGAGGGGAGCGGAGGCGCGGCGAGGGGAGCGGAGGCGCGGCGAGGGGAGCGGAGGCGCGACGAGGGGAGCGGAGGCGCGGCGAGGGGAGCGGAGGCGCGACGAGGGGAGCGGAGGCGCGACGAGGGGAGCGGAGGCGCGACGAGGGGAGCGGAGGCGCGACGAGGGGAGCCAAGGCGCGGTGAGGTGAGCGGAGGCGCGGCGAGGCGAGCGGAGCCGCGACGAGGCGAGCGGAGCCGCGACGAGGCGAGCGAAGCCGCGACGAGGTGAGCGGAGCCGCGACGAGGTGAGCGGAGCCGCGACGAGGGGAGGCTCCCCGAAACGAGGGGGCGTCACGATGGGACAGGGGGCGCGGCGATAAGAGACACAACTACGGGAGGCGAGGCACCAAATTATTGTGTATGCGCGGGTGAAGTACCTAGAATCTGCGTATTGTACTATGCTACGATGCGCTGTCGGGATCCTTTCTGGCTAGTACTAACACAATACTGGTGAGGTTAGCTACTCGTTTGGTTGGTTGGTTGGGTTGGTTTGTCGCACACTCATACCGATATTGAGTGACGAATTCCCGAACCCCCTCGCAGCCAGATCTCGCTTTCGCCCCGGCCATATTCCCGAAATGAACTTTTTTGCCTTTCGCCAAAACGTTTAAAGCCCTTCAGAAAATTTACCAAAAACCATGCTGACTTCGGGCTTTAAGTAGACACTAGGAGCCTACCATGCCGATGTGTGCATTCCCCATTGTACGGCCCACACAAGCTGCGCTACCATAGAAGAACGGGGTTCCGAATCCCTAGGAACTTGAAACCCAAAACTCCACATCCAAATGTTTACTCAAGCTTTAAGTGGTGTTACAACCATCGCTTCACAGGCAACCGAGCAGTCCAGATATTCAGTCTGATCCAGTCTTGGCCAGAGAGAGATTCAGAAATAAACAAGAAACAGCGAAACAGTCCTTATAAAAAGCAACCTGCAAATCCACAACACACAGGCGGCTGTTTTTACATCTGCGCAGCCTGTGTGTCTGTGGTAGCCTTGCTTGCCGTTAGCCTAATCTATGTCCTGCATACAGCTTGCCTCTGCACTCTATCAATGAGTGCCTTCCCAACAGAGGACGGGGGTAGGGTACTGTAGAGTACAGAAGGCTAGAAAGGGGTGCTGCGTTGCGACTTATGAGCGTCTATCTGTGACAGGAACGAGAGTGAGGCGCCTTGAGAGCGAGCCACACATGGTGAACGTAACAGACACTGTCACAATACCGAGTGGCCTCTGGACCATGTAACAGTGTCTGTGTAAGGTCAACAGGTCACTCAGTATTGGAAGGCCATGTGTTCACTTGCACGGTGCGGATAGGAGTGAACTCGCCCTCCCCGCCGTACCGGCTCGGCAGCTGCTTCCTAGGAATGGCCGCGCCTAGGGTTTCCTCTATGGCCTTGTCCTCTAGGAACCGGAACTGGTGGGAGGAGTGGGCCGGGAATCGGGTGAAGAAAAAACGGGGGGTGGGAGAGGTGGATGAGGACGGAGGTGAGGGGAGTGGCCGCCCCTAGGGTTTCCTCTATGGCCTTGTCCTCTAGGAACCGGAACTGGTGGGGTGGGGAGGAGGGCGGCCGGGGCATGTGACTCGGCAAGAGCATGCAGGCATGTGAATGCGAGAGCTCACCTTCCCCTTGGCGATGGGGTCGATGAAGGGGGTCCAGAGACGAGCTTCCAGAGAGTCCAGGACTCACAGAGAACTCAGCAACAGCAAGAGCATCTGCTGCTGGCGAATCTCTCACAGCGAGCGCATGCAGGTCAAGGCACGTGCAAGCGGGAGTGAACAAGCACGCACCTTCCTCTTGGTGATGGGGTCGATGAAGGGCGAAACGAGCTTCCAGAGAGTCCAGAAGACAGTGGGAACGTGGATGAGGAAGAGACAGATGAGCCGCTCCGGGTACTGGTTCTGCACACATGCACGCACAGGAGGAGGGATGATAAACACTCTTGAGACTCTTGAGAGTTGTTCACACTGTGTGCCTCTGAGCCTGCCACTATGTGGGAGGGAGCTTCCTGAGAGTCCTCGTGCCCTCGCATGCCCAGAGAGTCCAGAAGACAGTGGGCACGTGGATGAGGAACAGACAGATGAGCCGCTCGGGGTACCGGTTCTGCACACTCACAGAGAGAGAGAGACGCACACAGAACCACAGAGATGGAGAAACACACAGAGAGAGAGACACACACAGAGAGACACACGCAAGGAGGGAGAAGCACTTGTGAGAATTCTTTTCCTTTCTTGCCTTCTCTCTCACCTTCTCTTGCATATTCCCTCACACTCCCTACCTGCAGCACAGCACCGCCGCGGTCACCCCACCCACGCGTGCCTGGCATGAGGGCATGTGTAAGGAAGACATGCAACCTTCGTGCCATCGTGCCACCATACCTGCAGCACAGCAATCGCGGCAATGACTCCGCGCGTGTCCAGGTTGCGATACGCCAAGCTGCGATCACCCTGTTACAATGGCAGCACGGCGCACTCACCTTCGCTCACCCCCAACCACCATACCTGCAGCACGGCAATCGCGGCAATCACTCCGCGCGTGTCCAGGTTGCGATACGCCAGCCCTTCCATGTCTATGATCACCCCGCACTTGTGGAAGCCCGCTGTGCGGGAGCTGCGATAACGGAGGGGGGAAGGGAGTGAGAGGGTGGGGGGGAGAGAGGGTGAGAGGGTGTGTGCTAGTGCTGCAAGCCAGGTTGCGATACGCTAAGCCCTCCATGTCTATGATCACCCCGCACTTGTGGAAGCCCGCTGTGCGGGAGCTGCGGGGGAAGGGGAGGGGGCAGCGAGACAGGGAAGAAAACATAAAGCAAGAACCCAGAGTTTTCAGCACAAAATCTGATTTTCGAGCGGACTAACAGAGCGCGGTGAGTTGGGGGGAAGGAAAAGGAGGAATCCAGAGGTTTCAGCATGGGAGGTGCGAGGGGTGCAGCGATGGATGGTGATGCTGAGGAGGCATAGGCTAGGTGGGAATAAAGCAAGGGGGGATTACATAGGGTAACCAAATGTATGGTAACCACAAGCATGGTAGTTGCATGGGTGGTTCATGCGTCTCACCTGCCGAGTGCAGCGTCCATGCCGTATACGATAAGACCTGCGAGGAGAGAGAGGGCGCGAAGGGGAGAGTGAGGCGAGAGAGACGGAGGGGACGGGGAGGGCGGTTCACACATGCACACAGGCAGAGACGCAGACAGGCATTGAGGCACATAGACACGAAAAGGATCAATACAGCAGCACAGTGGGCGTTGCGAAGAAGGCGAGAAGATGAACGGGGTGGCACATAGGCGGGCGTTGCAAAGAGGTGAGTCTAAGGTACGCAATCCTCCTCTAACGGGGGATTGCGAGGAGGATTGCACACTCAAGGGCAGAGCACCCAGCGACGCATCTTCGCATGCCTCGCATTCCCGCGGAGTCGCACGCAATCGCACAGATTCGCCCAGCTGATGGTTCCGCGCTGCCGATTCCTGTCGTTTCGCGAGGCATCGGGCGGCGACGCGTCGAAGTGTCGGCGACTTTGAGAGAGCGACAGACGGCTCAAAGACTTCTCGAGAATACCGAAATGAAGGCAGCGCCATATCTAGTCGAAAGGAACACTGTAACGGAGAAGGGCGCCCGAGAGCATACGACAGCGCGATCGAGCGACAGGGAGAGCGACAGAGCGAGCCGAAATATTGACGGAGAGCGACGGAGGACGATGGGAGTGACGGAAAGCGATGACGGAGTGCGACGGAGGGCGACGATGCAGCGCGAATACCCCACTCACGAACCAACTCGTCGAGATCGCGCGTGTTTGGGTCGCGGAAGCCACTCGTGAGGCGCCCTTCGTGAGGGGCCTCACAAAGAAACTCAAACTCATCAAGCGCCGTGCCGCGCCGCAGCACTTAAGGACGAATCCTTCAAGATTGCTTGTGTTGGGGTCGCGGAAGCGATTTTCGAGGCGCGTCGCACATAAACTCAAACTCATCAAGCGCCGTGCCTCAGTGCAACACTTACGGACGAATTCGTCGAGATCGCGCGTGTTGGGGTCGTGGAAGCGCGGGCGAATCTGTTCTGAGTTATCGCACTCAAGACAGCAAGTGGCCAGCGGCGCGAACAACTCCTGCACCCCCCGCAATCTTGAGTCGACTCTCAAGTCACCCCACACTCACGGACGAATTCGTCGAGATCGCGCGTGTTGGGGTCGTGGAAGCGCGGGCGAATGAGCAGCCACGACGCGTGGCCGGGCAGGGTTTGAAGGCACATGATATCGCTCGCGGCCTGCGTGTGAATGCTCTCCATCGGGACCGTCGGGGCGCCGTCCGGGATGTACGCGGTGCGCCACTTGCGGTGCGCCACGTACATGGGCGCGGACTTGGCGGGCGCGAGCGCGCGCGCAACGAGGAAGCGCATGACGGTGCGGTCGTCAACGTCCTGGGGGAGGGGGAGGGGGAGGGGGAGGGGGAGGGGGAGGGGGAGGGGGAGCGACTGGATGGCTTAGAGGCGACTCAAAAGTTGCGCGCGACGAGGAAGCGCATGACGGTGCGGTCGTCCACGTCGTGGGGGAGGAGGGGGAGGGGGAGGAGGAGCGGGAGGGGGAAGGGGAGGAGGAGGGGGAGGAAGGGGAAGGGGAGCGGGAGCGGCGGGGAGGCTGTTGAGGCGCGATTCAAGAGACGCGCGCGCGACGAGGAAGCGCATGACGGTGCGGTCGTCAACGTTCTGGAAAAAGATGGGGGAAGGGGAGGGGGAGGCGGAGGGGGAAGGGGGAAGGAAATTCGCGGGGAGAGTTGAGGGGTGGGGTGGGGAGGACTGGCGGAAAGACTGGCAGGGGAAGTGGCGGGAGGATTGACGCGAATCGCGCGGTCTGCCACGTGGTCGACGGTGTAGAGGTCGGCAGTCAAGGGTGAGAGTGGAGCCGAAGCGTTCATAGCTATACCAGCCGAGCACGCGCGACGAACGGATTGGGACCCTCCGACGTGCGAGGCGCGACGCGCAACCGTGCGACATGCGAAACGTAGCGGGAGCGTGCGACGAGGACACCCAACGAGCGGAGCGCGCGAGCCGCGACGTACATCCGTCGACGTGCCGCTCATGGCGATTAATTCGCGTTTTGGGTCGGCTCAAAACACGGCTCATTTCACACGACGTACATCCGTTGATGTGCCGCTCCAGGCGATTAACTCGCGAGTCTCGGCGACGAGCGCCTTTTGATGGTCGGTGAGCACGAGCTCGCCACACGCCGCCATGAAATTATCCACCGTTAAGCAACCCTTCCCTTCCGGCGCCGTCATCACACTCTCTAGCCCCGTCTTTCTCGCCGCCGCATCTCCCGGCACGAAGTCGGGCGAGCTAGGCGCTGGACCGACGGCTGCTGTGGACATGGCTGATGATGGTGAGGACGACTGGGGATGACGGAGGATGACGGGAAGTGACGGAGGATGAGGGGAATTGACAGAGAATAGAACTACGGGAATGCGGGAGAGGGAGGCAAAGTAGGAGGTTACTAATGCGCCCGCTCGCGTGTCGATGCGTGATCGTGGCCGCTGGCTTGGCTACGCGATCGTAGGCTATCTGGACTGACGCTCTGGCTACTTCTAGTGTGGGCTGTCCGCGCTATCTACGCTATCTACGCTGGCTGCTCTGAGGCTTGACGTGGGGATGGGCGGTGTTGGGGGCTGAACTGGGCTGGAAGGCATAAAAACGAGGGGTGTCATTTTTTGGCGCTCGCGTTTCACGCTCTTCGTCAAGCTGGATCTCTGCTCGCAAGTTTGCTCACAACGCAACGCAAAGCACCGCAACGTAGCGTAATAAACCGCAAAGAAACGTACCGCAACATAAAACAACCCCGCCCCACCCAATCATTCTTTTGTACAAAATTGTACACGTAAAATGTTCACGAGCCGCGCTGAGCTGCACAAGGAGAGAGATCTCGGCCAACCGCGTTGGTTTGCACGTGGGCCGGTCAAGCCAGCGGGGCAAGGCTCGGTGGAACGGATTCGTGTACAGATGTGTACAGCGTGGCACGCGCTGACGGGCACCACCGTGTGTCAGGCAGAACGAGGCGCGGATTTAGCTGGCTCGGAACGAACCGGGCTGAGAGGTAAGTTACCTCTTTGGTTCACTTATTGGTATCGTGTGGGTGGCAGCGATGGGCTCGGCTCAAGTCTGGCAGGTTGTCGTTTGGCTCGGGATTCAAAACTAGGGGCCACGTCAGATACCCAGAGCAGAACAAGTCTCTCGTTAGGTACACCTGGGTTCGGCCGGTACGGCGCCCGCCCGACCCAACCTCAGCGTGACGTGCGGGGCAATTCTGTACAGTCGTTGCTCAGCCTATCACAAAAATTTGCTCACACAATTAGAAAATCAGTCACTCGGGAAAGTTTTGCCTGTGAGTGGTGATAGTGCTGATTTCGGGGTACAGTCACCAAGTCGAGGAAGAAAAACATCTACAGTTCATAAACAACAACGGCTGCCTGTCATCAGAATTGTTTACCTGGTTACGAACTTAAACCCCTAGACTCGTTTCACATTCCAATTTCATTTTACAATCACATTTTTGCCCGTGGCGACAAGGGCGAATGCAACGAAATACCAAAAAATTCGTTTCACTCACATGTCGCCCGCCTACCTGGTGTTCTTGAAATGAGCACCGACTGTATCGCCATTGTGTCTCGCCTCGTGACTCGTATCGTGTGCTTCTGTGGCATGACGAGGGGGATGGTGTATGTAGAGAAGGCGGGGTTGGTGGCGCTGTTACACCAAGCAACAATGGTTTTTAAAAGGTTTTTGTAGTGACTGTGAATGAACCTAGAAACAAGGGGGCACCGCAACCGCTAACTAGCAAACCTGCTGTGTGTCGTGTACGCTATGAATGGACGGACAGTCCACGTCCATGCCGTCGTTTTGACTCCAAATGCTGGCAGGGTACGTTGCAGAACGGGTGTTCACATCACTCGCATTCTGTACTGTACCTTCAAATTTCTCGCAATTTCGCCCAACATGTACGGTACGGTCAGGCGGGACCACGAAATTCTGGGCGGTTGGTTGGTTGGTTGGTCCGGCGGTTGCTAGGCTTGATTCGGGACAATTTTGGTTTGGTGTGGGGGCATAAGCATATGGGTCGGTGCGTTTCGATATCAGCTTTTTGATTCGTTAAAAGACTCCCTTGAGACCTTATTTGACTGCACAATAAGAGACAAAACCCAAACATCAAACACATCATTTCAGCTTGCCTGTGTTGCACTAGTTTGGCGCAACATATTCATACGCATTTACAAACTGTCCCGGCGAGCTATGATGCAACGCAGCAGCCAGAAGAGGAGGCCCGAATTGCGAACCCAAATGCATGCTTCCATACAGCTCCCTGTCCCCAACCCACACCTCCCCACACCCCAACTCCATCCCTTCACCACCCACCTCTCCTTCCCAACCCCCACCCTGCTGCCCGTGCCTCTGAAACAACCTCTCATGACACATTCCCTGGTCAAAGTACCTCACATTCCCGTCCATTCCAACGCCCCCCCTCCCCATGCTCCTGCTACCCAAACCCACTTCTGCCCCCCGAAGCTGCAAGAGCAGGTCATCCAACCCTAATCCCGCAGTACTGCCACCTGCTGCACTGCCGTACCCTTCCTCTCCTAAGGTGAGACTTGCAGGGAAGGTTGCAGCAGCGGCGGCGGCGGCAGCGGCAGCAGAAGCAGCAGCAGCAGCAGAGGAAACTCCAGGAGAGCCACTAGAAGGGAGCAGCCTCCCACTGCCTGTCATTGCTCCTCCTCCTCCTCCTCCTCCTCCTCCTCCTCCTCCTCCTCCTCCTCCTCTCCTCCTCCTCCTCCTCCTCCTCCTGCTGCTGCTGCTCTTGCTGCTGCTGCTGCTGCTGCTGCCCCTTCGGATGGTGCCAGCGATGGTGCTTCTACAAGGAAACCACCGCAACCAGCCCCCTCCCTTTCTCCCTCCCGAACCCCCCCAGACCCACTCAGCTCCCGCGCTCCCCCTCCCGCTCCCCCTCCCACCCCTGCCCCTGCCCCAGCCCCTGCCGCTGCCCAAACCCCCCCTCTCACCGCCCTCCCCCCTGCCCCTGCAGCAGCTGCCCTCCCATCCCCCCCGCCCCTCCTGCCGTTGCTGCTGCGGCTACCCGTAAGCAAACTCTTAGGTCGTTCAGGGGGGCGTTCAGGGGAAGGCCCGGGGGAAGGGGCGGGGGAGAGACTGGGGGAAGTAGCGGGGGAGGGGGAGGGGGAGGTCCAGGAGAAGAGATGCGAGAGGAACATGGAAGTGAGTGAGGAGGTGGGAGGGGAGGAGGACGGGGGAGGGGTGGAGGGGCGGGACGGCGGCGTGGGAGGGCGTGAGGAGGAATTGGTGGAGACGGGATGAGCGGCGGTGACGGTGCTGCAGCGGGAGTAGGAGTAGGAGGTTCCATCGATAGAGGCAGTGTCTGCAGAGCTAGCACCGGCAGTAGAAAGAGAAAGAGGCCCGGATGCTGCTGCTGCTGATGCTGCTGAATGGTCAGAGGAGACGAGGGCTTGTGCGTGGGGCCGGGCACGAGAGGAGCGGGAGCGGTGGTAGGAGCGACTGGGGCTCCTGCATGGGGAAGGTTCCAACGAGAGACAACAGGGGAAGGTTTCAAAGAGGGGCAACAGTGGAGGGATGCAACAAGGGACACGGATCAGATCGGCTATGCAGGGATCTTTTCAGAGGAGCTATGAATTGGGGGTGCGACACAGAAAGGGCAGAAAGGGCCGATGCCTGGACAATACCATGAAAGAAAGGGTCCATAAAGAAGATGACTAGACGCCATTGCGAATCCACACACCCAAATCCACACACAAGGGTATTGAGAGACGCAGCAACACACTACCCCCTCCCCACCCCACACACATCCGTTTCCCCTGTCTTCCCACACAACCCCTCCCTCCCCTTTCACAAGCCCAGCCCCTTCCCTTTCCTCTTCCCGTTCCCTGCCACTCCCCTTTCCTCCACACATCATACCTCCTGTGGACCTCCATTGTGATTGATCGTGCCCCCAAGGAGTGAACGTCCCCTTGACTAATCCTCTCCTGCACCTGCTGCCCTTGCTGCCCCTGTCCCGCCTGATCCCCCCCCATCCTCTCCCCCTCGCCAAACCCAGCACCTTCCCTCACGCCCCTCTCGCTCCTCCCTCCCCCCTGCACCTCCCACTTCCCACCACCAAGGCTAGCCATTCCCCCACTACCGCCTCCCCTCCCCCCCATAACCCCCGCAGCAGCAGCAGCAGAAGCCATCCCAGCCACCTGTCTCGCTAACAGCGCAACCCTCCCTTCTGCCTGCCTTGCCGCTGCCTCTGCTACAACCCTCTTCTCCTCTGCTACGGCCAGCCGCTGCTGCACCGCCTGCTGCTCCTCCCGCAGCACCGCCACGCACCGCTCTCGGCCCCTCTCCACCTCCCCGGCCTGCTCCCGCCACTCCTCACGCTCCCTCTCAACTCTCGCTAGCCGTTCCTCCTGTTTGCTCACAACAGCCTGTTGGTCGATCAGCTTCTGCTGAAGCTCGTATACGCGCTGCTGCAGAGCCTGCTTCTCCCGCCGCAGGCCTCTCAAAGCCAACGCGGCGGCCTCCTCCCCCCCGGCAGCAGTCTCAGCGCCGCCGCCACACACGCAGCACTCGCGGCTATCGCTCCCCTTACTGCTGCCACCTTGCGTGCCTGGAAGCGCAGCAGATGATGAGAGAGACGGCTCAGAGGATTTCACGGGAGGTTGGGGGAGACAGGCGGAGGAGGAAGAGGCGGAGGAGGAGGAGGAAGAGGAGGGAAGGGTGGAGGAGGGGAGAGCGGGAAGGCGGCTTCCGAGGCTGCCCCAGCGGACCAGGGGTGGGGTGGATGTGGGGAGGTGCTTGCGGTGGGATTGAGATGCGCGCATTGAGCGGGAGGCTGCGTTGCAGGAGTGGGCGGAGGAAGCGGAGGAGGAGGAGGAGGAGGAGGAGGAGGGGAAGGAGCAGGAGGAGGAGGTGGTGGAGGACGGGGGCGCGGGGGGGACGGCGCGCGTTTGGCGCAGGTCGGACTTGAGCTGCGAGCACTGCGCGCGGAGAAGGCGGAGCTCCTTCTCCGCCTCCCCCGCCGCCACTTCCAGGTGCGCGCGGTCCTCCTCCGCCTGCGCCACCGCCGTCACTGCGCGCTCCGCCTGCTCCAGCGCGCGCATGAGGTCGCCTGGCGGAGGGGGCGGGGGTGGGGGTGGGGTTGGGGTTGGGGAGCGCGAACGGGGGAGCGGCAAGGGGGAGGGAAGGGTGGTAGAGGCGGTGGGGCGGAGGAAGCAAGTGGGGAGAAGGGGAAAAAAGGCGGTTTAGTTGAAAGCGGAGAGGGCAGGGCGGAGAGTGGTGGGAATGGGGGGAGGAGGGGTTGATAGCGATGGGCGCGATTTTCGAAGCGCAGCAGCACAGCCAGCGGTCACTCACCCGCCAGTCTTCCCCTCTCCGCGCTCATCGCCTCCGCCAGTTCCTCCGCGCGCTGCACCTTCCGCCGCCACCGCCGCGCCTCCTTCTCCGCCTCCTCCCACCGCCGCTCCCACTCCTCCTTCTCGCGCTCCGCCGCCTCGCGCCGTTCTTTCTCCTCCGCCAACCGCCGCCGCATCAGCCGCACCACCGCATACATACCCTCCTCTTGCGCATCCTCCCCCAGCTCCCCTCCCCCCCCTCTACCCGCTCTCCCCGCTGTCCCTCCCGCATTCAACAAATCCCTCCCCGAACCAGCGGACTCGTCCCTCAATGCCACATCACCCCTTGAGCCATTCTCCGCCCGCTCACACCTCTCCGCCGGTCTCTCCGCCCTATCCGCCCGCTCGCCTGTATGCCGTGTGTAAGCCTCGCTTGGGCCTGCCTTTCCCAACCTGTCTTCTTCCCCGCCCTCCTCTCCCGCCGTTCTGCTGCTCCTTCTCCTTCCGCTCCCGCCGCTGCTTCCATACCCCCGAGCCTCTTGCCGAGGCCTCCTTTCCGCCCCGCCCGCCCCGTCGCCCGCGCGACGTCGCGCAGCGTCGCCTACGACGCGATGCTGGTCGCCCGATACTTTCGCGCGTTCTTGGTCGGCCGAATTAGTTACAATCTCTGTGACGGTACTGGAGTAGTCGTTAACGGGAATTTGAATAGTTAAGTTCGGCAAGCGGCGCCGGGACGTAATGACGCTCGAACTCGACCTTTCCGCCTCTGACGCCGCATCTGACGCCGCCTCTAACGGCGCATCTAACAACGTATTACTCCATCCAGACTTGCTCGACGTTCGTCTGCTTCTTCCTTTTGAACCCGCATTAGAACTTGATCCATTTCTGGTGTCGTGAAGTCCGCGCGGCTTGCGGCCTACACTGTTCATCCCGTCGTTCGTGTCACTCGAGCCGCCCCTCTCACTGGAGCCTGATGCGGCGCCGCTAACGCTTCGCCGCCAGAGCTCTGTGATCGATGAGCTTTCCGGATCTTGTTCATTCTCGCCCAGAATCCACTCGTTCGCTCCCCCCAACCGTCGATTCGCGATATTAAACTCGTTTTCCGCATGCCGACGTGCCGCCGTGTGTCTCGCCAAGGGAATCGTGCAGCTTAGGTGAGACATAGTGAAAGCAGGCGCCGAGGCTAACCTAACACTGCCCCCTGTGACAAGTGAACTATAAATCAGGTGCCGTCATCTAGATAATGATGCAGTGTCACCAAACAACGCAATCAAAACCACCTGATTGCGCCACGGCAGGAACGAACAGAGAGGTACGCTGCGAATGCGTGGGCGTGGGATGCGGTGCGGCACAATCGAGGTGGCTGGCGGTGGTGGTGGTTCTTGGTTTTGTGGTTGAGGTGTGGGGGTGAGTTGAGTGTCAATTCGCGAGTTTGCGAGTTTGTGATTGTTACTCTCTGCGGCTGAGTGGGTCTCGGAATTGGTTGTGTGGTTGGGGCGCGGGGACAGTTGGTGACTGTGACGGACGGATTTGTCGTTTGTTTGGCCGTCAGAAGCTCCCGCTATAGCGCCGCTCCATTCCCTTCTCAAAGCACCCGAATTCATCTCACAGACGGTACCAACCAACCCCAATGGAACGTACCCCTCCTCTCCCCGCTCCACCTGGATTGTGGCTACAGTGTTACTGTACAGTGGACAAACAGCCAACTACCGACAGCAATCCAGGACGTCGACCGGGAAAGTTGCGGACGTGAAGCAACAGAACTGCGGCGGAAAGGAGAGTGCAGTGGCGCGCGTAACGGAACATGAGGGGAAACGGGAATGGTTTGGGGGAATGGGACTTGGGCAGTGAATGGGGCATTTTCCGGCTAAGTACAGCTGTAGAAGAATTACAGTACACCTGGGCTCCAATAATTTCATTCCCCCTAATTGCAAGGCCCCTGTCGTCATCTGTGGCTCCTGGTTGAGAGCGGTTCGGTCCTCCCAACAACCCTCCGATACCTTTAACCGAATAAAACCGCTTTCGCTCCGTTCAGAAGAGTCCGAAACCCCGAAATCTTTCGTGAGAGTGTTGAAATTAGAGGGAACTTTTTTGTTCCCCCCAATTTCAACCCCAGGGCAAAACGACAAGGACGCGGCTCGGTGCCCACATTCTGAAATTACCGGAGCCCAGGTGTAGCAGGAGAGTTTGTCAAATCACACTACTTGGCGTCTGCTACACTCTCCCAGCCATGAGGTGGGTTTGATGAGCGGTTGATTGAAAAAAAGCAATGTGGATCAAAGGGTTGGGATTGATGGCGGTTGGTGGTGAAAGCGCTGTCGGGTGATTCCTTCTGTCACCTGTCGATTCCATGTGGAGGATTCCGCGTGTCATGCCATGATGCCACCCCGCCAGCCATCTGACGCATGCTCAAATGATGTAGAGTCACACAGATATCCTTGTCTTTGGGCAGCGTGGAAATGTTTTCTCAATAATAAGTGATATCGCGATATCTAAATTGCGCTCAATTCACATGGCTGACTAGAAAAATAATGTTCTTCCACAATATGCTAATTGAACTGTACCTGATTTCACCCCCGTACCACACCACGCTGCTTATGGGAGCTTCACTGCAGCGAGCGGTTAAGTAGATATTATTTCAGTCGCTTTTGACAACGATTAATCCACTCACGTTCCCAATGAAGCACCATCCCCACCGGCTGACGTGTATCCAATCGCCCGGCACCAGCTCAGGCGATCCCCAACCGCAATTGTTCCTGCATTGGACAGGGCTTTCCGTCACACCTGCCAGCGAACATCAGCTGGTAACCCCAACGAGGAACACTAGCCGAACCTGCACGAAATACCAAAAGTTTCTCGCTACCTCTTCGCTCGCGTCGTGCTGGCCCATCACATTCCTTCCCAACGACCCATCTTCCTCTTCTTCCTTGCCGTAATCCATTCCTTCACCTTCGCTCCCCCGCCTTGCCTCACCTCCCTCGTCCTATCTCACCAAACGTACTTTCTCAATTCGTCCCTCGCACGTCGATTTAGCGCTGCCCAGTCTCCTCTCTGATTCTTGCGTGGGTCGACTAGGGTTTGGCCGCCTCATCTATGTCGCTTTCGTTCAAGCTCGGCGCGGCCAAACGCCTCACCAGAGCTCCTCACGCACTCACCAGTTGATCTAGCAGCCGTTTCCGGTGCGCGTTCGACTCGTTCCTCACTCGCACCGCACAATCCCCCCTCCCCGCCGTTCTCTCCGCCATGTCGCGTGATCCCACAGACCTCCTCCCAGGCCTCCCGGACGACGTCGCGTCGCTCTGCCTCGCGCGCCTCCCCTTCTTCTCCCACCTCCCCGCTTCCGCCGTCTGCCGCAGCTGGCGCGCCTTCTTCTCCTCCCCGCTCCCCTGGTCCTTGCGCGCGGCGCACGCGATCCGCCATGGCGATCTTTTACTCCTTTGCACGGGCCTCTGGACCAGCAGCGCCGGGGAACCCGCGCTGGTCTTCCACGTGTGGGATCCGCAGCTCGACGCGTGGATGCGCCTGCCGCCGCTTTTCGCGGGCCGCGCGTACGCGCCGCATGCCTTCGAGGGCTTCTGCTGCACGGCCGTCGGCGCGTCGGCCGCAGCAGCGCCGATTGCGGCGGGGATGGAGGGTCTGGCGGCGGGAGCATCAGTAGCAGCGGTAGGCGCACCAGGAGCGCCAATTGCGGCGGTGCCAGCAGCTAAATCAGCACTAAGAGCGTCGGCGCGCGGAGCGCCTGAGGGTGCGCGATCCGCGCCGCAACCGGCGCGACCGTCCTTGTTCGTGCTCGGCGGGGAGTACCGCTTCTCCCCGCGCTTGGGCGGCAGGTCTTCTCTAGCGGAGCGCATGCCGCACGTGTGGTGCTTGGACCTGGGCTCGGGTCGCTGGAAGCAGCTCGCGGACATGTCGCGCTGCCGCGTTAATCTCAACGCCGCCGTCGTCCTCCCCGCGCCAGCCGCCGCCGCCTCCTCATCCCTTGTTGCCAGCAGTCGTAGCGCCAGTGGAGGCGGTTGTCGGCTTCTGGCGTTAGGCGGCTCGTCGGATCCCGTGGGCAGCTACGCAACGACGCCACGTGGCGATGGTCGGTTGGAGGAGCTGGGGGGGAGCGAGGATAGGTGGTTGAGCGGCGGAGACGCGGAGCTGGATGGAGAGGGGCGCAGATGGGTGGGCGAGGCGCTGAGTCTGGATAATCTCCTCTCTTGCGACGTGTCAGGAAACGCTGTAGAAACGACAGGTGGCGCTGCTTCCGGGGATTGCGCCGGGATTTCCGCCGGGATTGGCGCTGATGCTGCTGCCATGGCTTGTGGCAGTTTCTTAGGGGGGTTTCACCAGGCTGGTGATCGTGGGGAGTGGAACGGCTATGGTTTACACACTGCTGCCGCCGCGACTGCACCCGATGGCGGTAGAAGCAGCGGCGGCGGCGGCGGCGGCGACAGTAGCAGCAGTAGCGGCAGTAGCGGCAGTAGCACCCGCAGCACGGCCGGAAACGCCCCGGCCGCGCCCGTGCACGCCACGTGGCGGCGATTCGCGCGAATGCCGGCGGGCTTCGACCCGTTGTCGCGCGTGTCCGCGACGGCCGTTCTCGGCGGGCGCCTGTTCGTCTTCTCGCGCTCGTTGCAGGACGACGCGGGGCGGATCGAACGGCTAGATCTGTACGATCTCGCGACGGACGAATGGATACCTGTAGGGTTTATCCGAGGGCCCTCGGAGGGGTGGTGCCGCGGCGCTGTAGCAGCGGTGGAAGGCGTGGGGTTGCTGTGCGTGAGCGCGGAGAGGCGCAGGCTGGGACTGGGGGAGGTAGATGTGGCCTGGCTGGACGTTGACGCGCGGGAGTGGGTGGTGGTGGCGCAGGTGCCTGTCGCCCGGGAATTGGGGTGGGCGGGAGCAGTGTCCGCGTGCCACGTGGCAGCTGCTGGGCGGAGGGTGTTTGTGGTGACGGAAGGGGCGCTAGTGCAGCGCGTGGGGTTCTGTATGAAAAAGGTTAAGCCGGTGAATGGGATGCATGTGCTGAGAATCACATGGGGTGGAGGAGCTTGGAGGAGTGGTGGGGTGGAGGTGAACAGGCGGGGGTGGGATGAGGCGGATGGGGAGTGCAAGGTGGAAGGGTGGGGTGCAGGGATGGGTAGCGGCGGTGGCGGCGGTGGTGGTGGGGGTGGTGGGGGTGGGAGGGGCGTGGGGGAAGGAGGGGATTGTGTGAGGGAGAAGGAGTGGGATTTCACCTGGGAGGTTAGTAACTTGGAACTGGCGTCTGCTGTGGTGGGCTGTGCGGCCCTGCACATCTAGTGGGGTCGGGTGGGGTGGTTTGGGGTGGGGTGGGGTGGGGTGGGGTGGGGTGGGGTATCGCCCCTGGCACATTCTGTGTACCTGCCTGCCTGCCTGCCTGCCTGCCTGCCTGCCTGCCTGCCTGCCTGCCTGCCTGCCTGCCTGCCTGCCTGCCTGCCTGCCTGCCTGCCTGCCTGCCTGCCTGCCTGACCCTGCATGACTTGACTGCTTGGCTGCTTGCCTCGCAGGGCATGTGCGCAGTTAGTCAAATCCCTGGAGGTTCTGTTTGCATTGAATCCCTCCCGTACCGTAATTGATCCTTGCCACTGCTGCACGCTGTCAAATTACATTTTCTAATATGGTATCAGATGCATGAACGGTGATCCTTAGCTTGGGAGGGAGCTACTGGTAGCAGGGCTCTCGTTAGCAGACCAATTTGGTCTGATGGTCTGCGTTTCAGATGATCTGTAAGACAAATGATTTTACTTCAGATGATCAGTAAGACAAATGATTTTACTTCAGATACATTTTCAGATCGCATACTATGCTTCATCTTAGACACCAGATAACGAGTACGATTCCGTCTGAAACCGACATTTCTGCCCACTTGTCCATAGGGCCACTAGTTAGGGTATCTGCCAGCCTGTATACATGTATGCGCAATGAATGCCTCGGTCCCGTAGCATCCGCGCTGGAGGAAACAGCACCGCTGGCAGCAGCTAACTACGTATGTGCAACGCTGCCAGCACTTTGTCGCTGCGTGGGTGTAGGCGCCGATGCCAGCCACACCCGAGAGGCACCGACACCGTCATTTTGTGCAATGGGGTGTGACCTGTATGCATCCCGGATGCACGTAACTGTGGTCCCCGCCCAAACCCCGCACCGCGTAGGCCCCGTAGAATAGTTCATCTGTTTTTTCAGACTGGTATTAATGTTTCATCTTAGAGGTCAGACAAAAAAAAAAAAGGCCAATCTGAGCGTAAGACGAATTTTTTTTTTTTACAGATACTGTCAGACAGGCCAGAATCCTAGCGAGAGCCCTGACTGGTAGTACTGGGAGAGATTGATCCCTGAGAAGGCAAATTGCTCCCTAAACCCTCACGTGTTTCAGGCTGTAGATGTTGAGCTTTGTTACAGTATGATAAGGAGGTGGATGAATTTGCTTTGCATTGCATGGTACCGTACAATATCTATTGTTACCGTACCATAGTTGTCTGGGCTGGACTTCCTGGATGCAGTCAAAATAGCACAGGACAGGAGCCCCTTCATCAAAACATTGATGTATCATGTTACAGACAGCAATTGGGTTGAGTGAACATTTTGTTGGAAATTCCATTTTGTAGGATCTGCCAGGATGTTGCACTGTATAATGCTAGTATAAATAGACATTGAACATGTAGGAATACAGAACTTCTACGGTAGTACCTACCTACTACTAGACGGATCCAAAAGAATAGAGTCAGCTTCTTCCTCCTGTAAGTGCGTCCTCCAAAGAATAGTTTCGGCTTACTGTAAATTGCTGTTGCAGCCTCACAAGATCACCTCACTGCAGCTCCCTGTCAGGTTCATCCATCATACGGCAAGAGCGAGCAAGCACCGAGACCCTTCCAGCAGCAGAGGCAGCCACTGATCATGTTTGAAACAAGATGCGGTATTCTTGCCTGAGCTACCGCCTTGCACCTGGCAGCAGCAGCTGCCACAGAGCGCTGGCACTCCGTCTCTGGGTCATGCCCATTCCCTGCTGCTGCTGCTGCTGCTGCTGCCGCTGCTGCAGCTGCTGCTGCTGCTCCTTCTGCTGCTGTTGCTGGTCCACCGATTTGCGGAGGCCTGCTCGCACGCAGATTTGCTCCGCAGGCGATTCTTCACCGGAGGTCCCAGCGCCAGAAGAAGCCTCCTCGCTGCTGCTCCCCCACAGGGCCCTGCCGTCTCTACTAGTAGCAGCGTCAGCGTCGCTAGTATCGTCGCCATCATCGCTGCCGTCGCTGCTCTCGCTGTCTGCGCCGTCGTCCTCGTCGCAATTTGGGGTAGCAATCGCCCACATGCTTGCTGCCTGCTTCAGCCTGGCGTATGGGGAAACAGAGCACACGGGAGAGGAAACGCAGGGGAGATTATTGACACGAGTGTTCACTAAAACGTGCTGGAAACACACACGCACACACACACACACACACACACGCACACGCACACGCACACGCACACACACACACACACACACACACACACACACACACACACACACACACAAAAGGGGGGAACATAAGTGGGGTGGGCCCTTACCTCTCTCGCACAGCGTCAAGCTCAGAATAATCCATGGCGTTTCGTCGCCGGTTTATAGACATGCGCCGCCCGCTGGTGCTCAGAGAAGCACTGCTTCTGCCAGTGGCATTAGCAGTAGTAGTAGCAGTAGCAGTACCGCAACTGGCCATCGCACATCCAATGCCGAGCTGTTCGTCTTCTTGCTGCGCCTCCGCCACCGCGGCAGCAATCGCCGCAGCCGCTGCGCCGGCCGTGAAGGGTGACCGTGGCCCTGCCGGCTGCGCCGCTTTCCCCGCCCCCTTCCCCGCCGCTTTCCTCGCTGCGCCTCCGCCGCCTCTCCGTTCCGCGCGACACTGCGACGTCGCAACCCACGAGTGGAAGTCCTCGCCCGGCGAATCTTCCTCGCGGTCGCCGGCGTCGCTGTGCGAAAAACTTTGTCGCATTGGATGCGACAGCGACAGATCGGCGGCGTTACCAACTGACGCAGGTCTCAGGGACCGGAAAAGGCCGCCAGGCCTCATGATATCACTCTTACTATTAATAGCAATAGTGCTAGTATTAGTAATAGTACCGGAGGCCTCCGAGTCGCCGCGCTGAACGAGACTGCACAGCGGCGCGGCCCCTTGAAGCGCGGCGACCGCGTTGCCGCCCTCCAAATCCGGGGAGTCATCATGAGTTAAATGCTCTGACTCAGAGTAAGATGCCACCACACCGCACGATGCCTTCAACTTTAAATCAGCACCGTCGGCGACGACGGACGGCGCGGATCCGCCGGTTGTAGTAACGGTGGTTGACGGCGCCTGAAGCGCCGAGAGAGCGGGCCGGATGCTTGACTTGAAGTCTTCTGAACGGTTCGGGTTGACGACGGCCGTGACGGCGGCTGCGGCGGCGGCGGCGGTGGTGCCATGCCACGTTGTGCGGGACGGGAGTGAGACGCGGCGCGGGGTGGTGGCGCCGCCGGCGTCAGGGTTAAGTTTGTTACTATCGGAGGCCGCGGACGCGCGAGAAGGAGCGAACGGCGATACGACGCCGCCGCCGATGCCGGCGGCGAGTCTGCTGACGGCGGAGCTTAGGCGCGGGTCTTTGCCGTAGCAGGTGGAGGCGAGGTAGGTGGGTAGCCAATCATCGTCTTCTTGGAGCAGTTCCGAAGCGGGATCCTCGGTACGTACTGCGTGTGTCAAGGCCGGGAGATGCGCCGCAACTGCAACTTGAGAAGCCATGGAGGAATTTCTTGTGTAGTCGGCGTCAGTGAGTGGATTTTCACAAGAAATCGACGATTGAGAAAGCGGCTTCCCTACACGATGTTAAACAGAGGTCGCGTACGCGCGAGCGGCAGTGGCGAGTTCTGACTGGGAGATAAAGAACACGTGTTGGGATGGGATGGGACGATGGACACCACTGCGGAAGAGATAAGGGTGGATCAAGGAGGAACGGAAGGAGGGCTGCGGAAATCAGGATGGATGGGAAAGGGCCAGGTGGAAATGCCACTGATGGTGGTATTACTTGGCGCAATATGCGTACAGTGAAATAGAATGCTGGAGTTGAGGAGAGAGCAGAGGAGAGACACAGCAGAAGAAAAATGGGATGGTGGGTTGCTGCTGGTGTGTCTGTCTTGTACATCATTTACTGTGCTGGTTGCACTTCTGGGTATAGGGTCTATTCTATATTAAGCCCAGCAATTTATGTAGCAGAGTATACGGTGTGCTGACTTCTGCTGTTATACATAAGTTCTACCTGTCCTTGAAACTCGGAAAAACTTTTGCTGCTAACACACAGATCCATTCATTTTTATCTGCTACGCTTCAGAGTTGAGGCCGTGGTACAGATCAAGAGCCACCTTTTAAACCTTTGATTAAAAGGTATCCCAACATTCTAACCTGAGCTCCCCATTTTGCGTGACGTTAGAAAATGTTGGACGGAGATATTGTAGCTGGGGGGATTCATGTGAACCACTCACTGCAAAAACCAACAGCATAGCATGAGATTGTGCCTGCGGCTGATAGGCTACTCTTGTTGGACCTAGAGGAATGTTCGCCAAGCGGGGCCAGTTGTCGAACGAGACTTGGTGGTGGAGGGGGGCTGTGGGATTCCACGTCACGACCTAACGGAAGAAAGAGACGCGGACGTTGTGCGACGAATAACGAATAATCATCACATCCCAAAATTGATGGCTCACAAGCCATACGCCAAAAGCTAATCGTTTGGCTGCTGGTTCGAGCGACAAATATCTAAACTGGGTGAGTCTGGAACCTATCCCACGAAAATCACAAGAGTGAAGTGTTCGGTCGTCCAGTGCAATTGAATCCATGAACTGGCTACGGTAAGTGTACGAATCTGTGACAACACTTCCTTTTGTTTGGAAGAAGCTTTGGGGCTAGAGAGATATTTTAGTGGTGGTCGTTTCAAGCCGTTGCATGAGGTTGTTGGCGCGTCAATCACAACAGCCACCACTTTCCTACAGAACCCAAACGAATCCCCTACTCGACGGAAATCACTGGACCCCAAGCCCAGCATGAGATGCGATCGTGCGATTTTACTCCCACGGACACTGTGGACGCCTCTGTCCTTGGACCCGCTACAGTGCATTACCTGAACAAGCAGTAGTGTGGATGAGGTCTTGGGATAACGAGCAGCGAGGCTAGCAGTGAGCATATTTCATTAGACATTACATCCGGCTCTATCAAATACCATAACATTTTTTTACTGCTGTGCTACACAGCAGCATGATTCTCAGATTCTAGCCATCCTCTGCTAGCCATCACCACTACACTACTCCATACTTGTCCATACTGATCCGTCAACCCAGATGGGGTCTACACACACACTGAATTTTCTCAACATACGGTAGCTGAAAATTTCAGTGCTGGGGACGCTCGTGGCTTTCATATGCAATGCAAGCGTTGGTTGGTTGGCAGCATGTAAACCATGGTTCCAGTAGTAGAGACACCAAGGGCATGTCTCGGGTGGTTCGAATTGAAATGCAAAACCTTAGCAATCCAGCAGGAAGCGATACAGCAGCCACCCAATAACTGCAACCTTTGTGAGTGAGACAGAACAAGTCAGGATGTTCAACCCCAAAACGCCAAACCTTAGCATGGTACCATTAAAATTAAGCACACTGGGAACATGGATACGCAGCATAACACAGACCGAAGGCCGTGTGCTTGAGTCCCTACTTAAACCCGGCTCATTCCGACTTTGTTAGTCAGCGCCGTGCTGCAGCAGTGGCATGAGCTCAGGAGATGGGCCGGAACTTCCCTGGGATTCTTTCTGACCCATCCAGGCGTGCAAACAATGCAGCAGCAGACCCATCCCAAGTCGCACCGTCGCCTACTTATGAAGCGCCTCCAGAATAGAATCAACGCCGAGCAGTGGCATCGGCTCAGGAACTAGGACTTCCCTGGGTTCTGTATCCGTCCCATCCAGGCGAGCAAGTAATGCAGCAGCAGACCCGTCACCCAGTCGCGAATATAAGTATCAAGCTCGGGATTGAGCTTCAGTACCATTCTCTAGGTAGTACCTAAATCTGCCGGGAACTATATTTGACGAATTTGCTTACTGCTTCAGGCTTGCCGATAACTCTAGCCACGACTTTACTCAAGTCCTTCATGACATCGCTGATCACAACGTTATCACCAGGAACGTTAGTTTGGACGTTGAGAGTCGGCATGTTGGCCAAGGCGCCGTCTACAGATTCAACACGCAAGTAGGACGGATATAGAGGCTGTGCTATATAGAGGCTCTGCAGCACGCCAGCCAGCGAAATCGCCGCCTAGGACGCTCTGCAGCGCGCCAGCCAGCGAAATCGCCGCTTAGGTCGCTCTGCAGCGCGCCAGCCAGCGAAATCGCCGCTTAGGACGCTTTGCAGCTCGCCAGCCAGCGAAATCGCCGCCTAGGACGCTCTGCAGCGCGCCAGCCAGCGAAATCGCCGCTTAGGTCGCTCTGCAGCGCGCCAGCCAGCGAAATCGCCGCTTAGGTCGCTCTGCAGCGCGCCAGCCAGCGAAATCGCCGCTTAGGACGCTCTGCAGCGCGCCAGCCAGCGAAATCGCCGTTTAGGACGAGCCTCAGATCCGGCGCTGCAAATCAGCGCCCCCACATTGAGACCGGCTGCCCAGGTGCGGGATCCACGCCCCGACATCGAGACACGTGACGTCACAGCGGAACCATGGAAGACAGCCCGGACCCCGGGGATGCCGGGGTCCGGGAGGGAGGAGGACGTGACGGCAAGGCGAAATGGGCCACCGGAAGCACGGAGGAAGGAATGACAACGATGACTTCAAAGGCGACCTGCCCAATAGCCGGGCACAAGAGGGGGAGAGAGCCTACGGAGCAGCAGGAGGGACCACTCGTCCGCGGCATGTGCGACAAAGTCACTAGGTGCCTCCACGACAATCTGACCAAGAGGCAACGCCTCGATACCGACCTAGGCGTGGCCACTAGAGAAGTGGTCGAAAGTGGCAATGGAGAGCACAGGCAAGGCAACACCTCCGACGCGGCGATGGCAGCTTGGGAGGCACATCGCCAGCGTCTACAGGAGTCGCATGACAAGCGTCGGCGAGAACTTAACACCCCTTTAGCACGCCCGGCACTCACTAAATGCGACAACTCAGCGACATGTGGTCCCCGATTAGCCCGAAGACAGGAACGGAGGCGCAAATCAGGAGTTCCGCGGGGTCAAGGGGAAGGAGCGCGGCGAGGCCCGCAAGCCCGGGGGCAGCAGGAGCCGCAGGCTGGGGGGGAGCAGGAGCCGCAGGTTGGGGGGGAGCAGGACCCGCAGACTGGGGGGGAGCAGGACCCGCAGACTGGGGGGGAGCGGGACCTGCAGGCTGAGGGGGAGCAGACGTTGGAGTTGGAGATGGAGATGGGGAGGCAATGGGAGCTGCCTATTGGAAGGCAGCAAAAGCTGCAGGATGGGGGGCAGCAGGAGCTGCAGGCTGGGAGGCAGCAGGAGCTGGAGGCTGGGGTTGAATGGGACCCGCAGGTTGGGAAGGAGCAGGAGCCGCAGACAAAGGGGCAGCAGGCTTTGGAGGCGGAGATGGAGATGGGGGGGCAGCAGCAGCTGCCGGCTGGAAGGCAGCAAGAGCTGCAGGCTGGAGGGCAGCAAGAGGGGCCGACCTGGAGGCGGCAGGAGCTGCGGGCTGGGAGGCAGCAAGAGGGGCCGGCTGGGGGGCAGCAGGAGTCGCAGGCTGGGTGGGATCAGGACCGGCAGGTCGAGGGGCAGCAGGCTTCGGAGGCGGTGATGGTGATGGAGATGGGGGGGCAACAGGAGCTGCCGGCTGAAAGGCAGCAAGAGCTGCAGGCTGGAGGGCAGCAGGAGCCGCAGGCAACGAGGCAGCAAGAGCTGCCGGCAGAGGGGAAGGAAGACCCGCAGGCTGGGGGGGAGCAGGAGTCGGAAGTGGACATGGAGATAGAGATAGGAATGGTAACGGAGCAGCAGGTCGAGAGACAGCTTGGGCTGCAAGCTGAGTGGCCGCAGGTGTTGGAGGTGGAGATGGAGGAGGCACAGGAGGAGGGGGGGGGAGAGCGGCAGGGAAGCGTACAGGAGGGGTGTCAAACGGAGAATCAGTCTCAGCCGCAAGAAGGGGAGCAGCAAGGGTGTCGAGAAAGGAACCGGCCCCAAGAGCGTAGAAGCATGCAACTTGAAGAGCCGATCAGTGGGTTGCAAGAGCAACAGGCGCGGGTTCAGCAGGGGGTCGCTAGCCCGGGCGGCGCAGGCCAAGCGAAAAGGTCGCGAGCTCGGGGCCGAAGAGGGAGACGACACGCAGCCAAGTTGCAAGGAGCATCCCAGGGCGAGCAGCAGCCAGGGGGTCAGCAGGGGTCGACAAGGGCGCCTCAGGGGGTGCTGCAGGCCGGGGAGGTGCCGGAGGCGACAGAGGCAACCCAGGGAGGGTGGCAGACCGGTGGTCGGGCGGAGAGGACTAGGGCACCCCGGGGAGTGCAGCAGCCAGGGGGGCAGCCGGGGGTGACAGGGGGACCCCATAGAGCGCCCGGAGCACCCCAGGGAGCGCAGCAGGCAGGAGGGGAGCCGAGGGTGCCCGGGGCACCCCAGGGAGTGCAGCAGGCAGGAGGGGAGCCGAGGGTGCCCGGGGCACCCCAGGGAGTGCAGCAGGCAGGAGGGGAGCCGAGGGTGCCCGGGGCACCCCAGGGAGTGCAGCAGGCAGGAGGGGAGCCGAGGGTGCCCGGGGCACCCCAGGGAGTGCAGCAGGCAGGAGGGGAGCCGAGGGTGCCCGGGGCACCCCAGGGAGTGCAGCAGGCAGGAGGGGAGCCGAGGGTGCCCGGGGCACCCCAGGGAGTGCAGCAGGCAGGAGGGGAGCCGAGGGTGCCCGGGGCACCCCAGGGAGTGCAGCAGGCAGGAGGGGAGCCGAGGGCGCCCGGGGCACCCCAGGGAGTGCAGCAGGCAGGAGGGGAGCCGAGGGTGCCCGGGGCACCCCAGGGTACGCAGCAGGCAGGGGGGGGATCGATGGACGACCGGGAACAGCAGTTGGAGGAGTGGTGCCGACTTTTGGAGTTTGATACCCCCATGGCGACTGCGGAGGAGTCAGAGGCGGACGGAGAACCACCCAGTCCGCCTTCCCCATGCCCCCGTTTCCCGTGTGACACGTGTTTCCACACGTTCGCCACGAGAGGGGCCGCTGCGAACCACATGAGGGTATGCCGGGCGGCTGAGGCGGAGAGACGCGCGCAGGCACTTGGCTCGATCCCGTCTCTGGTGGAGACCGACACACAGGAGCGACCGACGCCGCGGGAATTTGGGGACGAGGCGTGGGCAGGGGTTAAGTCATGGGAGTGGGAGGCATTTTTCTGTGTGGAGGCGGTTGGAGGGAGGACAGTGCGCCGGATCCCGCAGCGGGCCCGGTCCGGGGTCTTAGACGCACTCTGTTGCATCTTGAAGCGGCTGAAGAGCCGACCGGGAGATGAAGCTGCTACCCTCCTACTCCTGGCGTTTCCGCGCCTCATCCTAGCCGTGCCTCCCAAGCCAGGCATAGGTCAGAAGGCGCTGATCATAGAGCGGCTGGGGGCCTTCTGGGAGGGGAGGTGGCGGGAGTTGTTCGACGCTGCCATGGCGGCGGCACGGCCAGCAGTTCGCCCACTTGCCTACACGTGCTCTGACCAGGACCCGGAGGCCATCCGCCTGTCACGGTGCCGATCTCGGTGTAAAGTGGGAGAGTGGAGCCGTGGTTTG